TTTTTTTATCTTAAAGCTATATAATTGTTCTATCATCAACCAACGTGCGCATTTAAACCAGAAATGTGCAAATTATTTTTATTAATTTGAAAAATAATTATTTTTTTTTTATCAAAAATTAATATTTTTAAAAGTAAATCGCGTACAACTCCAACAAATGTAGTATTTACTATGGGTATTTTGTTTATTGTATTATTGCACTGAATAATACCTAGAATAAATTAAAAGTTTGGTTTCAGTATCTTAAATGATTGCAGAATTATAAGCTGTCGTTACAATCTTGATTTTCTTAGAATCGAGTATCGGTCGTTTAATTTTATTTCCTTCGGTACATTTTTGTTGTAGTGTTGTCATTTTACAGAATAATACAATAAGGAAAAAACCCATAGTAAATTTGATATCACAAATACGAAAAAAGTTCTTATAGTTTAAAAATTAATTATTTTTTAGTTTTGATATCGGAAATATAAAAACAATGTTCTCATTTTTATAGTATGGACATTTAGTTTCTTAGCTTAGAGCACAGCCTGATTGGTTTTTATCCCCTTGCAAAACAGTTTTTCCTTTGTTTATAAGTTGGTAATACGGAGACAACACATGTGGGTGAACCTATAGCGTCTTATTTACAATTATACAGATTATTTGATTCATTGCCATTTACACAGGGGCGTCATTTGGGGGTGGGCAGGGTGTGCGACGGCACCACTAACATAAATAATTGGCCCTCCATTAATACTCCTATATGCACCGATATAATTACTATTAAAAATTAATAAAATATTCTTGGTCCAGTGGCGCTGAAGTCCAAAATTTTAACTATGACATTAGACACCTCCACATAAAATGTTGACACCCACCTATTTATTATAATTACCTTACCATACACCAAGTAAATATATATTTTAGTGCCACTGATTCATGGATGTAATTTAAATGTATTGTTTTTATCAGCTTTATTATCAAATGTATCCCTATTTGATAACCATGTGAAGCGAGTCTTATTCTGTGGTTTTGTTATGTAAGACAGTTCGTGCCAGCCTGCTGGTATCAGCTATAGTGGACTAGTGGAGTAAGCATAGCATAGCTGATAATATATTAGAAACTGTAGAAAAATAACTAATAATATGTTATTTTGTATGAATATTGAAAAGTATTTAATTTTTGAATTACATTTATTAAAAATAATTCCTTAAACCGCATTTGCCTTTAATTCTCCAAATAGTAGTAAAATGGCTTCTTTTGGCCGCTAGTTTCTACTTGTTTTCGTTGCTTATATGTTTTTATTAAAAGCCTTCTAATACATTGAACTGTTAGCTATTTGAAAATTACAATATAAATTAGTTGATATGAGTAATTTTTTATTAGGATTATAAATGGGAAGGAGGTAATATTAACATACTTAAATACTTTAAACGGCATGGTTATTGTTTAGATATTAATGTTAAAGTTGGCCTGGTTAAATGTCAAAATTGGCTTGCCTAAAATCTTGCACACCCGGAAAAAAACTGAAATGACGCCCCTGCCGGATTTACATATTATTATTGTATACAAATTAAATCTATTGCAATGCATTTTATTATAATATTAGGATTTAGGGGGGAGGGTCAAAGCCCCTCACGGATCTGTGAACAATAAATTATTCCAGCACCCCCTAAATTCACAACCAATGTGCGCCTATGTACACAGTACAAGCGCGTAGGTACTCATGAAACATCGCGGAAAGGGCGAGCGGAATGGGTGAGGAAATAAACCGTAACGAAATTTAACACGCGTAGCATAGGCGATTGAACTTTTTACGTGTTATTAGATAGGTACTCATCCATTCACGACCTACGACACGCCGTTTCCGCAATTTATTTTTTGGTGGATCAAGGACTTTTTTGATGTCTATCAATTCATACAAAACGAATACCTTTTAATAGGTAGACTTTTGCATATAAAATAGGTACTATCTATGTACAAAAATATGTAGGTACATACAGTGGCACACCCAAGGGGGGAGGCTTTGGGGCTTAACGCTTAAACCCCCCCAAAAAATATTTTTTCATTGTATTACACATTATTATAGAAAATATAGTATAACAATGATAAATGATAATGTTTTATTTTAAAATTTTGTTATTATGTTAGATACACATATAATATATACATAATACATAATAGTTCAATACTACGCGATAAGGTTTGTGAGTTTGTGACAATCAATATACCTATACTCTACGGTGGCTATCGTCGATTTTTATTTCGTTGAAAATTATTTTTAGATTTATAGATACAATAACGATTACTTACGATCGACTTTGATTGTTAACTACGATAACAATGATAATTATGACTTTCGACTGTCTGTGGCATGAAAATCTCGTTTAGATAATTCAGTCTGTTCGATTTTTTACAAAATTGGTTATTTAAAAATTAGTTTTAATTGTTTACTTGTGTGTAAGGGAAAAAGAAAAATTATTAAGCCCCCCCAAACAAAAATTCTGGGTGCGCGCCTGGGTACATACGTTTATCATTTATCTACCTATATTCAGTATTCACTTATATAGTATAATCAGGGTTGCAAAGTGTTTTAAACATGTGTTTAAAACGTTTTAAACAAGTAAATTTGTTTTAAACGTTTTATTCATAAACGTTTAAAACGTTTTATTTAAGACAAAAAAAAAATAACAAAATATTTTATTTTATGTAACTTATAACTTGATTTTCGACAGATACCTTAATATCTTACACAGTTATAATAAATAATAATACCAAAAATCAAACTTAATGTAAATGTAGCCATGTAGATGTGGGTAACTATAATTCTTTATTTTTATTTTTTTTTTAGTTAGTGTTAATGGACACATACTAGTTGCGGACGAATTATTCCGGTCAGGAATTATAACATAACAATAGCGGACACGAGTTTCGTTGTCATAATACTAATTGCGTACAGAGCTTTTTTTTAATAAAAACCACACGTTAGTTGTGGACACAAATATTTCCTTTCACCACTTTTTCATTACTTAGGACAAGCTACCAAAAAAATTGATAGGTGGGGTTAAAAATATTTGTGTCTTGCAAAAGAGCAGTCGTTATTTTTAAAATGTTGTTGAAATATTTATTGTTTTAATTTTATGGAAAAAATTGTTTATAAAATATTTATAGGCTGTCGTCATTGTTTTTATAGATCTTGTGGTAAAATTTTTTTTGAAACGGCCTGTATATATGATATTCTACTGATTTCACCTGCACGTGAATATTATAACATTTGTTTGCTAATAAATGCCTCCTTTTCAATAGTTTTTTTTTGCTCGTTTTAAATTTCGTACAGCAGAACAATTCATTTTTGTATAGCTACTAGTCTGTACCAGAGTTGGGCAAAATTTTATCTAGATAATTATTCGAATAAATCTGTATTCGAATAAAAAACTATTCGAATGTTTTTTTTACAATTATTCGAATAAAAATGTATTCGAATAATTTTCAACTAAGATTATTCGAGTAAAAAACTATTCGAATAATTTTCAACTATGATTATTCGAATAAAAAACTATTCGAATAATTTTCATCTATGATTATTCGAATACATTTTAAAGACGGTTATACGAATAGTTATTTAATTTGATTAAACATACCTAGTTCATAATAAAATAATTTTTTTAGATATTGCTATTATCGATCTATTAGGATTGTTGTAATAATTGTTATGAAATATTACCATTAAATATTATTCATATTATAATATTATAAAACTATTGTTAAAATATAAATAAAAAAAACATATCTAATTTTCTAATTATTAACTTTCTTATATTGATAGATATTTGTTTATTGTTTATTCGAATATCTATGTTTAAAATTGAATCGGTTAATTTTTTATTCGAATAACAATAGTTGAAAATTATTCGAATACATTTTTATTTGAATAATTGTAAAAAAAAAATTATCGAATGATTTTTTATTCGAATAATAATAGTTGAAAATTAATCGAATAAATTTTTATTCGAATTATTGTAAAAAAAATTATTCGAATAAATTTTAATTCGAATAATTGTAAAAAAATCATTCGAATAGTAATTTATTCGAATAAAATGTTATCTAAATAATCATCTAGATAAAATTTCATTCGAATAACGCCCAACTCTGGTCTGTACTTAATTTAAGGCCTCGATCAATTGATATATATTATAGGGTGATTAAATTTTAAAAATGCATTACACCTTTTATTTGTACACGCCCACTGTTGAATTTCATTTTTTATTATGCGATGAAAACGGAACTTAAACCCGTAAATCACATGTAATTCCTTAAGATTTTCAGTATGCATTTTTATACAGAAAATAAACGAACATCAAACGAACAGCAAGCCAGTATGGTTGTCGATAAACTGATTAAACATAGGTAGCGGTTTCAAAAGCACCGGCACAATCTGAATCTTTAATATCAAATAGTAATTTACCAACGTCCACGATCGCTATATCAAAAATAATAATAGGAAATTCGTCCGCAATTAGTATCTTATATATTTGTGTCCGCAATTCGTATGTTACATTTTTAGATTTCGTCCGCAACTCGCATGGTTTTTGTCACTTTGTCCGCAATTCGGAAACACCGGTGTTAATAACTTAATTTTGAATGTTGATTAAAAGTTAAAAAAATTTGATGTACGACTGTACTACAATTATTTACGGTTAAGTCCATCAAAGATTTTTGAAATTTGTTGTTAGTTGTTACAGCCCTGCACTAAAAAAATGATTGTTGAAAAAAGTTGTTTATAGACTTATAGTTAAGAAGAAATGTATGTTCCATGCAAAAAAAAAAATTTAACAAAAAATGGCGTTTAAAACAATGTTAAAAAAAAATAAAAACGTTTTAAACAAAAAAAACATCGTTTAAAATGTTTTAAACACATTAATAAAAAACATTTAAAAAAAACGTTTTAAACAAAAAAACATCGTTTTAAACGTTTTTTTTTCTTAAAAAACTGTTCTTTTTGCAACCCCGAGTATAATAATATGTATTGCATATTGGGCATAGACAAATCTGAAATTGTAACAGAACATAAATATACTTATTACGGAAAAGGCTTTTATCAAAGCCAACAGTTACAATTCACTCTCACTCCTTCTTCACACTTCAACCAAACTACAACGAAGACTGAAGACCCGAAGAAACCTCAAGAATATTCAACCAACGAACGACGACACCGTTTCCGGTCTGCGGCGTTCAAGTGCCCCGATCGACGAACGACGACCGGTACGATCCCGTGAGCAACTCTCATAGAGCATCGCCACAAATTGATCGCACGGTCCGACGACGACACCGACTCCGGTCCACGGCGTTCAAGTGCCCCGACTTACGACCGGCACGATCCCGTGTGCAACTCCCACAGAGTATCGCCACTAATTGATCGTACGGTCCAACGACGACACCGATTCCGGTCTACGGCGTTCAAGTGCCCCGATCGACGAACGACGACCGGTACGATCCCGTGTGCAACTCTCATAGAGCATCGCCACAAATTGATCGCACGGTCCGACGACGACACCGACTCCGGTCCACGGCGTTCAAGTGCCCCGACCGACGACCGGTACGATCCCGTGTGCAACTCCCACAGAGTATCGCCACTAATTGATCGTACGGTCCAACGACGACACCGATTCCGGTCTACGGCGTTCAAGTGCCCCGATCGACGAACGACGACCGGTACGATCCCGTGTGCAACTCTCTTGGAGCATCGCCACAAAATCGATCGTACGGTCAGCGGCATTCCAACACATCGGCCTATATATATCTTTGTCCACGGGACTAACTAAATGGTAACCTCTCGTTATATCCGACATCGGAGAAAGGCTTAGACCGGAACTCCGATGCGGATACTCGATGCGCCATTAATAGCTTCGTGTGACATAGATATTTTGGTCAGGCGGATCGACTAGCAACAGGGACCTTACAGGACGCAGAGAAGAGTAATCAACCAGAGGCGAGAACTTACCAATTGGATAACCAACTGGAAGACATTGGGTAATAAATTGTCCTTTTCAGGACAACACTGATTAAAAGAAAGTCCCCCCAAGCGCGCCTGCCTAGGCCTCGCTCGACCCGAACAGAGATTGTGATTAGACGCCACTTAATTGAGCGGGCCTAATACAATTATCTGTTCCGTCCCTAATATTGTATAATAGCAAAAACTCCTTTCATATTATATAAGAGATTAACGGGAAAACAACATTTTCCATCCCCGAATATTGTAAACATAAAAGTTTGAATAGAAATAAAGCACTAATTATATATATATAAAACAGATGTATTTATATTCTTGGTAAACGGCTATTCTACTTCATAGTAAGTACCGTTTCAAAATCGGGGACATTTTTGTGAATAAAGGTATACTAGCTGTTTCAAGTGAGCGTACACTGCAGGATTACCCTCGGGATTACCAGTCAGCGTTTGTACTATTTTAAAATTTTATAGTTTAAAAGTAATTATATAAATATTATTAAAGAAAAGAGACTACAATTATGTAGGTAGTAAAATTTCCCCAGCTACGGTAAAATTTGTTAAGCAAGTAAAAATTAATTGTTACGCCAGGCAATTTCTATCCCAACGGTAAAATTTGTATAGGTGGGTAAAAATCGCCTGTTACGTTAGGCGATGTTTACCTCCATAGGCGTATCTACGGTGGCAGCCTAGGGTGCCTGGGCTGCCCCTGCAATTTTTAAAAGGTGCCGGTCAACCGAGTCTTAAGTCAGAAGGGTTACAACATTTCTTTTTTTTTAAAAACTTGATTTTTTAAGGAAAAACCTAGACTATAGACTTGGGCCAGACGACGACGGTACAGTACACTGTACACATCTAGGTAGGTATTATTGATATTATTGTTGTATTATTTTTCATTTGTAGCTAGTTGGTGTAATCCATAAGGTTGTAGAGTGTAGATGAATAATATTTCTGAAGTTACTGTAGATTATTATTGTAAATAGATAATTTAGACTTTTTAAATCATATAAATATTTCATTGTGGAGGGGGACTTAAAAAAATAAGGCTTTTTTCAGTTCACTAATAAGGTAGCATCGGTTATTAGCTAGGCTTCCCCTGCCGATGAAGTCTAGTCACGCCTTTGTTTACCTCAGGCTATTTTTACCCTCCCCGTAAAAATCACCTGTTACCCCGGGATTCCGTCTGCAAAATCTCGTCCGCGGACTCGTATTTAATCGGGCGGACTCGTATTTATCAACCGTGACGACGTCCGTTGTATCTAGTTTCCGAGTAGTCTTTATATTATGCTCGTATAACATAATATCACACATTAATAATTAATTAATCGGCATGTAATGACCGTTTTTATGTCATAAAAGAAAATTATAAATACAACGACAATCAATCATTTTTTACGCCTCCCAACACGTCGGCAAAATGTTCTCGTGTTATGCGGTCAAACTGTTCGGCCATCTGTTTTGCGACCTGTTGCACGTACCGATGCGTGCTCGCCAATTGATTGTGTTGTAAATATTTTTGTACCCCAACCAGATTCGGTGCAGAATAGTACATTAAGGGGGCTTTCCACTATACATACGTTCGCGTTTATACGTGTATAAAAATACTATTCTTTGATTGGTCGGTATACACGTTAAGCTTGCGGTGGTACACCAGAGTGTTTATACATTCTTATACCACACGAGTCACCATGATACCGTGTTGTTGGATCCAATTCAACAATTTCGTGTACACGGCTGTTTAGTATTGATAACAAATGAAAATTCAAATCATATATTGTAACGCAACGCGTGCACCTGTTGACAATCACCGATGTCGTGATCTACTTGCCCGGTGTTGTGTTCTCGCCGCAATGCAGTGGCGTATATATACAAATTATTTTCACTATGGGCCAATTTTGGCAATTTATCACTATTCAAGCCTAGCACGACCAACATAGCCATAAGCGCCCATAACTATACATATTTCAGGGAGCTGGGTGGTTATAATTATGACACATTATACAATACAAATAAAAATTGCTCAATTTAATTTTATAATTATGTTAAATTAATTTTTTAATTATTTTTTAAAAAATATTGACAATTTCATATATATTTTAATGTTATCTAACTGTGAATTTAACATCAAAGTCATGAAATCAAGTCCTGACAATCATTTGCTTGTTGATTCCTCAAAAACAATTTTAATAAGTGGCTAAATTTATAATGGTGAAAAACTGTAAACAGTGTAGATATACATGAAATGCTTTAATTTAACCTGCTATTTCACTATGGGCTCTGGGTGTCAATTCTCGAACGGCGCTATCTAATAGTCGTATACGACATAAAGGAATACTACTTTTTGTAGAGTGGTAACGAACGAGTCGTATGAACCGCTTGTGGTATACTTACTATCACGTAGATATCGACTGATAACAATAATAGGAGAGATAATAATAATTGCATAATACATAATAATCAATAAAAATCGATAAAAAAATACCTAAATAAATTAATTAGGTACCTACCTAGTTTTTTTGTTCATTGTTATACATTTAAATAGGTACTAAGTTCTTCTTCATCGTGTCAGTCAGCTGTTTTAAATTGAGCCAATATTTGGTCTGTTTTATTACTTCGAGTACCTACTACCTACTAAGGTAGAACGGTTTTTATTATTTCCTATTCTTCAATTTAATACGACACGCTAGCGAATGAAAAGTCGTACGACTTCAAAACGTATGACTATAACCACTCGTCGAGAAGTAGTCGTAGACTACTTTGTATGCCTCCATGGATAATGTTGTATTAATTACAATAACCACACACAATAAATTTAGATAATATATCTACGACGTATCACAGTAGTTAATAAATAGGTACCTAGTTCCGACGTGCCCGTATTCCGAACGTTTGAAAAGTACTAAGTTAACTTTGGATGTCTTAGCTGTTGTATGGCCTGAAATGTTGGTTGGATTAATAAGTTCCAATACATCATTTTCTACAACAGTCAGTGTAGAACATATGGTGTATTATGGCCAGTTTTTCTTTGTGCTGCTCTAATCATTGCCTGTTTGGTCTTAGCTTTGGTTCGATTATCTTGAAAAGTCTAAAATATTTACAATCATGTAAGTAAAAATAATAACTAATACTACCTACACGGCTACAGTACTCTTAACCAAAAAAACTCACTTTACGCCATTTATTCCAATTTTTAACGGCTCCGGGCATTGCATTTAGAGACTCAGCAATTTCCTCCCAACGTTTTTGAGCGGTTTTAAACGTAAAACTACTGCTAAATTTTCCACTTAGCAACTGTGGATCAAGCTTCAAAAACCCGTTCAAAGCTATCATCTGATCCACAGTTGCCCAACCTTTAATGTCGTTTGCCATTATATTACAACTTAGTAGGTAGTAGGTACTCGAAGTAATACAACAGATCAAATATTGGCTCAAAAAATGGCTCAATTTAAAACAGCTGACTGACACGATGAAGAAGAACTTAGTACCTATTTAAATGTATAACAATGAACAAAAAAACTAGGTAGGTACCTAATTTATTTATTTAGGTATTTTTTTATCGATTTTTATTGATTATTATGTATTATGCAATTATTATTATCGCTCGTATTATTGTTATCAGTCGATATCTACGTGATAGTAAGTATACCACAAGCGGTTCATACGACTCGTTCGTTACCACTCTACAAAAAGTAGTATACTACAATTTAATTAGCGAGTGGTGTTCAAGAATAGGTATAAGCAGATGGCACAAAGCGTATATACGACTTAGCCAAGCGACTGTAGTCGTATTCTATTTATTTTCGCTTACATGTCGAATGTGTTCGAGAATCGACCCCCTGGCCTAGGGGGCCTCCCCCCTATATACGCCACTGTTGCAATGGTATGCGCGGGAGCAACATCCGAATCCTCCCACCACTTCACTTTATACGGTTTCCCGGGACGATACAATAATATAGTGTAACAATTATAAATATGAATATGTTACATGACACCTATATATATTATAATACGAACTCTACCGTATGTACGACTAACTGCTGACCTATACATATTAGAAAACACACATAATTGTATAAGGCCTAGGCCAACACACACAATGTATTAGAAAGTCAGTTCACTGTGCACCTTCAATTTTATCACTAGGGCACGGATGTTGTAGTACAAAAAAAATAGTAAAATTGATTGCAGTATTGCACTAAAAAATACCAAAAATTGCACTTAAAATATTAAAAATTGCACTAAAAAATAACAACGTTTTGTTATAAATGTTTTAAGTTTACTGTTATAAATTATAATCTAAAATTCTAAATAATTCAAAAAAAAATATATACATTACATTATAATCATGCCATTATAAATTTATTATATTGTACATCATTGCACTGTACTATAAGTGTTTGTTTTAAATTTTCGAAATCAAACCCTCTTCGATTTGGAGCTAGTAAGTTCTTACGTATATCTCGAAAAACTTCGTACTACGTCGGTTGATGTAAGCTGAGCGTATTTAAAATAAGATAAATCGCTTACTGTTAAGTCTTCGGGTAAACCATCGAATGATTTTCTTTGTCCAGTTAGTATATCATTGATTTTAATAATGGTTTTAAGTCATATATAAGTTTTAATATTGCTAAAATAGTTGTATAAATGTCAAATGAGTAAATTCGACAAAATTGCAATAAAATTGAAAAAATCCCAAAAATTGCAAAAAATTGCACTTAAAACTTTTAGATTTGAATTCGTACTTACATGAAACGTATTTAAAACTTACTTAGCAATTAATTGAAAAAGTAGAAAAAAAGTTTCAAATGCAACATCATCCGTGCCCTATTTATCACACAATACGATTACTTGACTCCGTAGGACTACCGCGATACAGTCACCTAGTATAATAGAATCATAGTTGATATATTTGTGAGTATTAGTATTTGTAATTGTTTAATAAATAATAAAACATAATTATAACTGAAATAGAATCCTAGTAATTTAAATATAGTTAAGACCCTGATATCTATACATCTGCCCCTGGCTACGGTATTTATATCTATAGGATCCACACGATTCTCCCTGGATATCTTATATTTAACTGGTCGTTCCCCCGACCACGTTACAATAGGATAAAGTTTAATAATCAGTTACTCCCGGTGTTGGTGAGTTGAGGCCCAAATCCTAAATAGCGTACGAGTTCCGGCCCGGGTTTATGAGAGGTACGTATACGAATTGTGGTCATACAATAATCTATATTATACTACATATATACGATATATAGGTACTATAGTCCAGCGGCGTATTTACGGGGGGGATTTGGGGGATCAATCCCCCCCTTGGTTTTTTTTTTGCTATTATTAAAGGATTGAAGTATACATATATAGATACTGAATCGTCAATTTGTTTTAGTATTTACTATGTATTTTTCATTTTTGTACATGCAGTAAGAAAAAAATCAATTATAAGGTTATTAATAGACTGTTATTATAACGCTACTCAAACTCCGCAATGTCCTAAATGGTGCGTTTTCTGCATAAATGCTGCACTCGACGTACCAGCTAGACACGACTGTAGTCAAGGCAGGGGGTGGCTATAGCCTATAGTTCTATTCACGTGAAGTCAGCAAAACGTCGTGGAACATAGTAACAGAATTTCAAAAGTTAGTTGATTTATATTCTCCTGTTATCGATAAACAGAGGCGGAACTAAGAATTTTTACGCCCGGAGAAAATATTAAAATTAAGCCCAATCATAGACCAAGATTGAAAATACAATATCATTCCCTACAATTGTTTTATCATATAACTGGAACTAAAATTACAAACATACTTATTAACTTTTAAACACATAATAATATATAACAATTAATATATTCTGTGGACTGTGGTGTAACCAAGTTTATACTAATAAACTATCACACCAAAAACACTTTAAATTTAAAAACTTAGTCAACATATTGTTGATACATTTTTAATTACTGGAAATACTGTATTGGTTACTTAATTGTGTTTATTATTAGAAATAATAATAATATTAGTTATATATAAATGTTGAAAAATAATCAAAACTTTAATTACCTACCTATCCTGTATAAAAATTGTAAACACTTTTGCTGTTTTGGTTCTATGCGCCTCAGCCTTCAATTATAATAGATTTTTATAGTAAAATATAAAATCTTTTATTCTGATTAGGGTACACAATTTAGGCCAGTAAAAAATTGTATTTAATTAAACAATTTATAATAGAAAAAATGAAAAAGTAAATATTTAAAATCAAATCTTTTTTTTAAACATAAACAAATGTATAACTATCTTGGTAAATATTATAATATATAATATTATAAACTATAATATATTAACATCATTTTTAATATACAGATATAATATACGTATCGTACGTTGATTGATAATCTTATAACAGTTATTGTGTAGGTATCAGAAATTTTAACGAAAACACAGCATCAATAAATGCCTAGGTATAGTTAATAGTTACATTTTCACTCTGAATCTTAATAATTATAGTATATTAGTTGTATATGCTTGCAGTAGGTATGCCAGTATACCAGTATATACTTAGTATACTAATACGAATCTATTCATAATCGTACTATTAACTTTATTTTTTTTTTCATTAATTCCAACGTCATCACTACAACATCATAAACAAATAATGTGAAATAAAAATGTTTACTTAACTTCTATCACCAAGCATTAAATAAAGAACTAAAGAAAAATTACGATCACTAAAATTTTACGCCCGGGGATCAATCCCCGGCTTCACCCCCCTAGTTCCGCCCCTGTCGATAAACACAATGTTTTGGCTGAACTGAAAATGTGGAAACTCAAATTAGCTTCAAGCTGTGAAAACCTTACTAAAAATGGATTAGAAGCCTTACAAGACTGCAATAAAGATATTTATCCAAACATCCATTTCTTATTTAAAATATTAGTTACTTTGCCTGTTTCTACAGCAACACCAGAACGGAGCTTTTCCACACTAAAACGCTTAAAATCTTACTGCCGCGAAATTCAATGAATGAGGTTTTTCTTATATTATTTTCTAATATTGCTATACAGAATTATAATTTATAATGTTATACATTATTAATTATTTGTATTGTCCTTAGGAACGTCTTAATGGACTAGCGCTATTATCTGTTCATCGTACAGTAGACATAAGTATTGACGAAGTAATTGATGAACTAGCAATAAAACAAAGAAAACTTGATTTTGTATTATAAGTATAAAGGAATGAAAGTATGAGTATGTAATTATTATTATTTATTATAATAAAAATAAATATTTATGATACTATTATTTTTGTACTAAATGTATTATTGTGTTATTGGACATAGGTGGTGATAGTAGGATGGTAATTGTTAAAGAGTGAATTGTCTAAGAATATTTTTTGAGTGTAGATTAAAAATTGAAATTTATTTCAAATCTAATGAAAAATAATCAATACGTTATTGTTATAAACTAAAATTAATGAATAATAATTGGTATTAAATGTTAATAATGTTATGTAAACTGTACAGTATGTAGTGAGTAAGTATAGGAAACCTCAAAGGGGGATGTGGGGGGGGGGCAAAGCCCCCCACTATTACATATTTCATTCAGTGCCTCATCCCCTCCCTTTAGCAATTCCTAAATACGCCGCTGCTATAGTCTATACATAGTACATGTATATAAACATCACAATATAAATTTATTAATATTACGTATTTTCTAGTATTGTCGTATATTATTAATATTTGTGATTTCAAGAATATAAATAAAAAAAAATTAGCCAATAATATTTTGCGTTTCTAGAATATAATAATATATAATGATATAATAATATTCTATTGTTTTGGCAAAAACTTAAAACTTAACGATTTAACTAATTCGAAATTATCTATTTCTTTTAGCTCGAGTTTTGTCACCTGCTCTCCAATGAAAGCTTCTTTTTCACACATTTTCTTTGTTCTTACACTTTTACTTCTGAATTGTATGTATGTTTCAGATTGAACTTCTAGTAACACATCAACGAAGTTATAAATGTTAGGGTGGCTAGTGTAGAACGACTGCATATTTAGTTTTGAATGAAAACTTTCACAGCTGTTAGTAGTACGGTTGCAGCTAGCAGTAAATTGTGCCCAAATATTTGGGGAGAACATAGAGTCTGGAGAAATATAGTTTTCAAAAATGTAGTCTGTAAATTTCACAATTTGGTCATTTTCTGCAGGCTGTATTGCTATATAACTTGCCATACGTATCGAACAATTCGTTTATCGTTATTCGTTTATCACTATATGTATAGCCATCTGACAGGTACATCGTACATAATGTAGTTACTAGTCAATAGGTACATAGATAATGATAATTTTTCTGGCCGCAACTCACC